TTTTTTTTTTTACAGTTATCGATATGCTCGTCACTTTACACCTCCCCGCATTTCAGAGAGCCCAAAGACGGTGAAATTCTTCAAGGGAACGCACGTTATGAGGGCTACTCAATGGATCTGATCGATGCCATAGCCAGATTATTAAATTTCAAATATGAATTTGTATTAGCGCCAGATGGAAAATATGGTAGTTTTAATAAGAAGACACAATCATGGGATGGATTGGTGAAGCAACTTTTGGAGGGTGTGAGTATTTCATGCTACTAAATGTTATATACATTAGTCATGGGCAGAGAGAGAACAACTGTGTACTGTGCACCTCTATATCAGTGATTGCTAGCGAGAGGTTTCTTCCTGTACGCGTCAGTATAAAAAGTTTACAAAGTTCGTGTGAAAACCTACAGAAAGCCCTGCTTCTTCCTACGTTTAAGGCGTAACTCGTCTATGCAGGTGTATAATGTATGTACGATCAAGTTAAAAAGCTCTGCACTAGTGCATCGTTTTGGTCATCACTGCAAACACTGAAAGCCTACAGCGTCGCCTGTAACTTCCTAAAAAATTTTAAATCGTTTTGTGTCTCTCTTTCAGAATGCCGACCTGGGTATTTGCGATCTGACGATGACCTCCTCACGACGTCAAGCTGTCGACTTCACCCCACCTTTCATGACACTGGGCATTAGTATACTGTATGCCAAGCCTGAGCAGCCGCCACCGGATCTTTTCTCTTTCCTTTCGCCATTTTCTTTGGATGTCTGGGTGTATATGGCCACCGCATATTTGGGTGTATCGCTATTGATTTTCATGCTTTCACGCATGGCACCAGCAGACTGGGAGAATCCGCATCCCTGTAAGGAGCCAGAAGAAGTGGAGAATCCTTGGTGCATGTCGAATACGACTTGGTTGGCGGTTGGCTCTATTATGGGGCAGGGGTGTGATATATTGCCGAAGTAAGTAAAAGTTTTAGGAGCTTCATATGAGCTTTACTTAAATGTTGACGCCAATTGTTAACATCCGCAGGGCTGCTTCGACGAGACTTGTAACCAGCATGTGGTGGTTCTTCGCCTTGATGATGTTGAACTCTTATACCGCTAATTTGGCTGCTTTTTTAACAATGTCCAGAGTAATGTTTTCTTTTACATAACGATATTTTGCAATCAACATTCAAAGTTTATTTTAATTATATTTGTAGATGGAAAGCTCGATAGGAAGCGCTGAAGATTTGGCTGCGCAAAGCAAAATTAAGTATGGCGCTTTACTGGGCGGCAGCACAATGGGCTTTTTTCGGGTGAGCGCATATCGA